TCTATCTTTAACTCTTAATTTTTGCCTCTTGTTCTTTTCTCTTGTTTTCTCTTGTTCATTTATTGTCTGTCTTCTGAATGTCCTTTCTTCAGTAATTTTCATTGTCTGTTTTATATTACTTGGCAAAACCCAAGGTGATAAATTACAGACTCTTCATTGGAGAGAACAATCACCAGTGGCTTCACTCGTGGTAATTTTATGGGATGTCTTACCTTTTCACTTATAAATGAATGAGATCTGAAATGTGTTTGATGGGAAAGGGGAAGTGGCATAACCATTTATAAAGTCACAGCCACAATGTTGAGAAGGAAAACAAGTTTAATATCTGTAAGTGAAAACTGGATCCCTTTTGGTTTTGTAGTCATTCCCTTTTTATGAGTGAATCAAGATTATGCCTTGTTGTTATTTCAATTCTACTTTATTTCCTTTTCTTGAAGTTTTCCTCACTGTAGTATCTGATCTTGTCACCAAGATTAATGATTGTAGTCTCACAACAACTCACAGAGATTTATAGACCTGATTTTACAGCTTAAGAAACTGAGGCTCAGAAAAGCTAAATCATTGGTTCAGATTACAAAGGAAGAATGTAGCAAAATTGTGAGTTAAATTTGGATCATCCAAGTCCTCTATCAACACTTTCACTCTAAAGCTATTGTTCTGTTGGTATGCAAAGAATTATATGTGAGTCATGCATGTATGCTTCTTAATTATATAACCATTTTGAAGAGGACCATCTTATGAATATGGATAACCCAGCATGATTTTAAGGAGGAAATATCCAGAAAGGTGTATTAGCATTTGGGTAAGATTAAATATTTGAGATTTGTTAAGTCATCAATGATGGCTGCTGGCCAAAATAACTGGCTAGCTGCAGGCATTACTGTAGTCTCTTCCTATGCTTCCTAGCTACCTCTTTGAAAAATCAAATGTTGGGACTGGAAAACTGTGTATTTGGTGAAAGAATGGGTAATGGCATGATCATAGTGAAAAGTCTGGTAGAGGAAATAAAAGAAGGAAACACTTCCTAGCTTTCCAGGATTTCTGAATTTCAGAATTGAAAAACAAGCCAACCAGGCAGCATGAAGGAGATTTATTTGACACTTTTTGACATCTTTCGGCTGTAGCCCTCCCATGATTTTCCTTTACCCTTCTCTACCTACAAACTCAATTGATCTTCATCCACCAACTAACTCTTGACAAAGTTGACTTTGCTGGTCCTGGCTCTTCCTTATTTTAGGACTTGCTTAGCTCATTATAATCCACAGCCATTTTTCCAGTCTCTGTTCACATTCCCAGGCACACCTCTAGCTCCTCTCCCTGTAAAGCCTTCCTTTATTACCAAACCTCTCAACACCATTCACTTCTGAAATCTCTCTGCATGATGAGCTCCTTGGTGCCTCCCTCCCTTTACTCACAGTTTAGGCCAGAGAAGCAGCTGATGAAGTCAGATGTTACTGCTCCACAAACCCTTTGACAGATGCAGAAACACTTGCTCTCCTATCTCAGACCATCTGCATGCAGATGCTGCCGTATCTAGAGGAACAGGAGATCACGTGGCAAGAAAACTGTTCCTAGATAGGGAAAACACATGTTCTGAGTGTGGCTGAAGGAAGTCAGCTCTGTGGAAAAATCCCGAATCTCTCACCTTCTGCCTTCTCCTGCTGTGGGACTGGGGGTAGTGGATGTGAATCAGATGCAGTGCAGGTTTCAGGGACTTGGATGGGTACTGTGCTGCACTGGCAGAGATGTATCCTCTAAGATCCCTAGCACAGCTGTGGGTGTTGGGCAGCAGGAGGGACCATGGAAAGCGGTCAGGCTCATGGGCTCTCCCAAAAGAGCATTTCTGTTTGTCACTGCCAGAGGCAGAAACCTGCGCAAGAGGGACTATTGGCCTAAGGGCCTTTCTTGTAGCCACTATATAAATAGGCCTGGGGTTGCTAAATATATATCTCAGATATTTGGATTTGCTTGAGTTTTGAGTAGTAGTGTATGTGAACAGAATACTGTAACAATAAACATAAGATAAAACATTTGTTAGGGGTCTTGGGAAACAAACTACAGCCAGGCACAAAAATAACCATTTCAAATACATACTGAAGAAGAGGTTACTCTTTCATGGTCCAACATTATTGATATTAAATAGAGTTTGTGCCTAAGAGAGACAACCAGCATTTCTGCTCTGGTTTCCTTGGTACTTTGGAGGTGTGGAAATGAACGGTTTTGAGAATACTTCTAGAGATCTCTGGAGGCTGATGGCCAGAGGAAGGTAGCTGCTGTACAGATGCAGGTGTACCATATAGCCCTTCTTATCTCTCATGAAGATGCCTGCAGTTAGGCTGGGTGTAACTTGGAGTTGTGGTATTTTTTTTATTGACCAACATATTCTTTATGTTATTAAACACTCACAGTACAGCAGTGATTAACTCTGAACCTCTTCCTATGCTGTTCCCAAGTGGCTCAATCTATTGCAAACACATTGCTCACCCTTTTCTCTGGACATGACACAAAGTAAGGTATTTAGAGGGACAAAGAACCCCCATTTAAAGATATAAGATGAGACAGCTTGTATTATTTTTAAAATTTGGGGTCAAATGCCTTTCTGGCTCAGTACATTTGCTGCATATTGATTTTCCTGAAGTTATGTAAGACATAAACCCATCCCTTTGTCACCAAAAGCAGTACAGCTGTTTCCAGGACTGTGAGTCATGTGTATGACTTCTCTTTTTAACTTCCCACTGGCTTTTTAAAAATATACTTTAAATCAGTTTTGCTTTTCAACACCAAAGAGAAACAGCAATAAATTCTCCCAAGAACTGCAGATTTGGGCAAAACATTAAGTTTTCATATGCTGAGAAGGTTGTGGTGCAAAGTTGGTTTAAACTCTGGTCTTTACACAATGTTACAGAATACCGGAGAAGTAATACATAGGATTACATACATCTAGAATTCATGTTGAAGGTACAAAAATTGCCTTATTTAAACAATAGTGAAACACAGCTACTGGAGGGCTGCTGAAGCTATTTTAGATAACCAGGCAGTCTAGACCTTCTCTGACCAAGTCAGGCATCAGAGTGGTTAAAATGTTGTTTGATAGAACACCTGGTAGAAACAAATTAATGTTAGCAGCAGTGGGAAAAATTGAGAAGTTTAGGCTACACTCCCACTTTTGTGGCAATGTGTTCATATATAGTTAATTAAGTATTGAAGCCTGTGAAAGTGGGTAGGCTGAAAACACAATAAACAGAGGTACAGTGTAAGACTGAAATTCTCATTGAAGTATTTTGTGTAATCACATCTGGATTAGGAAAACAACCACTGATGATTAAGACCAGCTTTTCCTTGTCCTCTTTCTGTAGTACTTCAGACAGAGGTATAGCAGCCTGGTCTTTGTGCCACACCAATGTGAGAGCATTTGCTTTTGAACCTTGTTTGGTTTTGCTCCAACTTTTGTGCAAGGGGTCTAACCTGACCTGGATGTACCTCCAAAGGGAACTCTTTGTGCTCTTTGGAAGCAGTGTCATCCCATTTGTCTTCTGGGTTCCTGAAACTGCACACAGGGGCTTATTTGGACAAGACTGTGGCCCCAGCCTTTGTCTGATGCCCCAAACTTCTCCAGTGGTACAAAGAAGGTGCAGTCTTCTCGGCTGCTCATTTAAGTCTCTTTTTTATAAATATAGCAGGGAAAGACAGCACAGCAGAAGCTTGTTTTAAAAATTACCTTGTTCCTTGTCAGAAACTGTGGCTACACTTGAAAATGTTCAGCTCCCTGTCATTTAATTCTAGTGACTGATTTGCCACAAAGATGCAGACAGTGTGGAGGGAAGAGAGAACACAGTGACCTGAAGATAGAGTTATCCAAGTGTGTATCTGTGGGTAGTCCTTCTGTGATCCCAAGACTGATTGGCCTGGCATGGGTGTGTCACCCTGTTTGTTATCACAGTGTCTCCCAGGTGCCTACAAAGCCGACCCAGAGCACTGCATTAAACACACGAAGAAAACAAGATGTGGGTAACTATGTGATTCCTCCCAAGTCACCTGGCAATCTGTGCTGCATCCGGGGGACTTCATACATTAGTTTTATGGGTCGCAGTCCAGCCCATTTACCACAAGGATCATGAAGTGAGGAATTTATGACACCTCAATCTAACTCCCTCTTACAGGTTTAAAAAGCCACAGCAGTGCTTTGACTGGCTTCCCAGGTGCTGGCTTCCCAGCACCCAGATACATGACTTGTCTCTCAAGAGCAATACTGAGGATTAGGTAAAGTGTATAAGCACTCTGAAGATTAAAAGCACAGCAGTCCTAGGGACTACATGGAAATGGTGGCTTCCCAGCAGTTTAGACTGGATTTGCTGAAGTCACATCACCTGCACATCTAAAATCATATGATATCCATATTATATACATATGATAAATGTATGAAATCTGTATATTTTGCACTCATCTCCTCTAAGGCTTTTGGTCTGTTTTATGAGCTGAGAAGGCAGCATGCATCCTCCTGATTGCTGTGTTCAAATGTAAAAATTCAGCAACGGATTAATGAGCAAAGCCCCCAAATGTTTTTACAGTTTCATGCATCTTGCACACTTGCATACATTTCAACAAATGAATAATTTTTAATAAAAATAATGGCAAAGGCATGACAATGCAAGAAAGGCTGAGATGTTATGTGATAGTTTTTGTATATACTACAAATCTCTCTGATTTGCTTCAGAGCTTTTCACTTTTATGTTTGAAGTCTGTTGAGAAACAAACCAAACCTGATGCAAGGTTTTTATGAAGGATTTTTCTAAGGCAAAAAAATCAGTAGACCAGCTTCATACCACCACTACAGTTTAGGTAATTATTAATTAATTTAAG